GCTCAGCTCGGGTCTTGATCTCAGGGTCCTGAGTTCGCGTCCCACATTGGGTTCTGGGCGGTGCATGAAGCTTATTTAAACAACAAACAAACAAACAACAACAAATAAAGAAAAGAAGAGAAAAGAAAAAAAAAAGAGACTCCCAAGACACACAGTGTTGACTCCTGGGCGGTACGCAATGGGTTAGCAGCCTGTCTAGCCTGGTCTAGACAGTGGCCTCCCTGGGGCATCTCCATCTGGAAAAAGATCGCCAGCTCATGCATGCTGACTGTGGTCATGCGTCTCTGCACACACACACCAACACATACCAGAAGCACCTTGTAGTAACCTTGCGGACTCCAGCTCCGAATGACATGCCTGATCCAACGTGCCACTCGAGCCACCTCCACGCGTACCAGACACAGCCCGACACGACGAGTCCTCCAGACACGGCTGACCCACTAGCAGGTACGCTAGCGGAGTTGGCCCCTTACACCAGGTCACAGGACACGGCAGCCCCTCACCGCGGCTCCAGGCAAAGTGGTGGCACAGGATTGTCTCTTGCTGGTACATAACTGGCTCCCAGGAGAGGACCCGTGCCCCAGGAGAACAGACCCTATTCTTGAGCAGCCCCCACTAGAGACAGCAGGCACCCCACCACTATCTGGGTCACCTTCACTTTACTCCTGCTGGCCGTTCCTCTAGAAATGCTGCCCCCAACCTGTAACCACCTTCTTAAGCAGGTCTGGGCTCGTCTCTCTTGGCACACACACCAGATATCATGGATTGAGATCAAGGTGCCCGTTTCACTTACCAGGCTGTCCTGTCGTGAGTTCTAGAACGTGGCACCTTGTGGAATTTCCACCTTGCTCACCGGTCCCAAGCAGCCTGGTTTACAGAGAGGCAAAACGTTCTACTCAAAGACGTGCTTCTCAAGCTTTTAAACCAAAGGGGTCCCTCCGGTGGACAGAGAGTTTGCCCTAAGCTCTGGTCTTGCTCAAGTCCCAGCTCTCAGGGCTCCAAAACCCTCGCACCAGCTACCTGTCTCCTGCGATATCTCCTTGTGAGTGTTCCAGGGATCTTCATCCCGCCATAGCACAGAGGGCGTCATTCACATCTGTCACCGGGGGAGGCTCCCCTCGCCATTGAGATCTTTTGAGTTTTTTATTTCTATTTTCATTTTTTGAACTGGTGACCCAATTGAGGGCTGATTGTGTAATATGACCCTCTTATAATAGAAAGCCAAGGGGACAACCCCACCAGATTCTTAGAGGTCATACAGATTTCAGTGGTCCCGGTTACGATGGCCCAGTACCAGCTGCAAAACTAAGGCCGATGATGCTGCCTCACATTTGTGTTATAATAGCTGATCAATTTAAACAAATTCATCAGGGGTGCCTGCCTGGCTCAGTCCGTTAAGTGTCTGACTTCGGCTCAGGTTACGATCTCATGGTCTGTGAGTTCAAGCCCCGTGTTGGGCTCTGTGCTGACAGCTCAGAGCCTGGAGCCTGCTTCAGATCCTCTGTCTCCCTCTCTCTCTGGCCCTCTACTGATTGCGCTCTGTCTCTCTCTCCCTCTCTAGTGGGACTGTGTGGGTCTCAGAGACAGGAAAAGAGGTCTTCTGCTTAGTGATGCCATTGGGAAGTGAAATCCACAAAGGAATCCTGGAATATAGTGGTTGTTATCGGCAGACGTGGGCCAAGCCTCCACCCTGCCCTAGGTGGAGGGGTGAATGACCTCGGGCTCCGAGGCAGCCACACTGCACCTGGGGTCAATATCCAGACCGAGTCCCCAAGAGGCCCTGCAAGCCTGTACATGCTCTCCTGGGTTGTGGCTCCTGCTCTCCCCTGCACAGCCCGGATGGTGGGGTGGCAGGTGGGCCTCGGAGGGTAACGCGTCCCGGACTATGGGCTGGAACAGAATCAGTGCCAGTGCTACAGGCCCCGCCAGAAGGGCTTCAGCCAGTGGGCCGCCAGCCGTGGGTTCTGACCCTGAGCTCACCTCCCTCTCATTAACTGGGGCCGTGGAAACGGGTTGCTCCTCCTTATCCCCTGCCTCCGGTTATGCCCCGGGCAGAGGGCCCTCCCAGTGTAACCAAGTCAGCCCGTCTGGCTGGCAGGGGTGTGCTCTGACGATATGCCACAGTTTAATGGGGAAGTCTCCGGACTGTGAAGCGGCCATCCACAAACGTGGTGACAACTAGCCCATCAGGGTGTCCGGAATCTGTAAGCACCGTGGATAGAATCTCCACGAGACTCGGACACGGACAAGGCGCACCCGCCACGAGCAGGTGGAACTGCCTACAATCCGCTCGCCGAGCCACAGAGCCCACACTGCAGCGCCACCCTGAGCCCGGGCCCTCGCAGATGGACTCGGGACTTAACACCAGCCCGCTCTTGCCCCTCATGGGTCTCCTCCTGGGTGGGTCGCCCTCCGCCTGGCTGGCCCCTACCACCCCAAGTACGCCAGTGCCTCGGACAACGTCACCCCAGCCCGAGAGCATGATGGGGACGGTGCGCGGTGACCTCTTGGACACTGGGACTTTCCCCTCCCAGGTGTTCTCTGCACATGGGTTGGGGGGGGAGGGCCAGTGCCCGTGGCACAGTAACCTGGAGGCCAAGTTGCACACATGCCTCCCCCTGACCGACCCTGACAACCGTGCAGAGTGTTATTTTTTCTGGAATAGCTGGGCTTGCAGACCCTGCCTCTAGCAGAGGCTCGCAAACTGGGAGGAAGTCCCCTGCCCACTGGCTGGCACTCTGGGCAGCATTTCACCTTTGTGGCCAAACAGTGGACCGTAAACCACGGCAGCCACTCTGAGGGCACTTCCCGCATCACCCCGGCGTGACGGCCTGGGCCTCGTGAGGCAGGGGCCTCCTGCTGCCGCGTTCACTGCTCGGTGCACTGGGACACAGCTCCTGCTTTGCGCGCGACACGTCCGCGACAGGCCTTGCTCCCTGCTTCCCGCTACCACCGCCAGCACCCCAGGCACTGTCCGAAGGCTTCCAGCTCCACTCCAGCACAAAGGCCGGACCTCCCCCTGGGTACTCACTGTCCCCCGATGGCCACGCCTCGCTCAGACTCTAGAGTGGACCTGACTCAAGGCCCAGGAGCAAGTCCAGCAGACCGTGCCCGCCCACAAGCCATCTGCAGGGATGGCCCCTGTTCCTGCAACTCTGTTACCTTGACTGTTCCAGCGCCCTTCGCCCTCTGGGCATCTCCCCCAAACATGTCCTGCTGGCTGACCAAAAGCCATTCTTATTCCCATCCTGTAAGGGACTGGCCAGCTCCACTGGCCCTGCAGGAACGGAGAACATCCTAGAGCAATTCCCAGCTGCTCTAATCAACCACACGCAGAGAGCACCAAGCTCCGAGTCTGAATCAGCAACAGCACCACCGGCTGGGCAAATGGTGATGGGGTCCACCTGGGCAGGTTCCCGGGGGCCGAGGGCATGGGGCCTCTTACAGGGACAGTGATAGGGTCCACCTGGCGCCTAGGTGCCTCAGGTGCGGGGCCTCGGGCGCCCCTCGCTTTGCTCAGAACAACTCACGACAGTACAGGCCAACCTCAAGGAGAGGCCTCCAGATATCAGGTCAGGTAGAATATAACTGAAATATCCAACAACCTCCGTCTCCCCGAGGTCCCTGATTTGTCGCAGGGCTCCCGCCATGCACCTGGGGGCAATGGCTGGGAACAGGACTGCAAACAGCAGCGAGCCTATGCACTCCAGGCTTCGTCGTGATGGCCTCGATTCAGCGTATGTTCTGGGGGCTGCAGAAAGCAGGACCTATGTCCTTTAACAGATCTGGTCCTTGCGGCACCTGGGCAGCTCAGTCCGTTGAGTGTCCGACTTCGGCTCAGGTCATGATCTCACAGTCCGTGAATTCGAGCCCAGTGTTGGGCTCTGTGCTGATCACACAGAGCCTGCTTCGGATCCTCTGTGTCCCCTCTCTCTGCCCCTCCCCCACTCTCTTTCTCAAAAATAAATAAACATTTAACAAACAAACGTATCTGCTCCTCCATCCCTCCATCGATGGCTACTGCTGAGGGCCGGGCATCCCAGGACAGACTGTCCAGAGTTCAGCTAAGCTGCTCTGTGGGATTCCCGCCTCTGCCCCTTCTCTCTATTCGGGCTCCGTAAAAAGGCAACATTGAGCGTTGGCAGGTGGATGGCTTGCCCAGGCTGGAGGTGGGGACAACACAGAGCCAGAGGGTCTCCAAGCTTCACCCAGGACTTTGTAAAGATGCTTCAACGTTTGGCTACAACAGGAGGACACATTCTGCCCTGAAAACATTTGCTCTGTATCAGCCGAAGTCCTTACCCACAGGCAATCCCTCCTCTGACAGAATCAAACAGCTCCTTCCAGGTGGAGGCTGCGGGTAAACGAGACCCCCTTCCTCCTGGGAGCCTCGGCCCGGGCTTGGCATCTTCCCTGGAGGCCAGGCCGCCCCACATGTGGCGGTCCTGCTGGGCTGAGGCAGCGCCCCGCCCCCTCCCCTCTCCCCGCCCGAGATGAGTCTCGTCAACGCTCATCTGTCCCCGCAGGGACATCCACCGGACTCCAAAATACAGGAGAGAAAGGACACGCCTATCCGTGGAGGCAGGATGATTGGAGGGCGAGTGAACCCTGGTCAGCTGCACTGGGGCCTGCCGCAGGAAGTGCCTCACAGATGTAGCTTGCTCACCTTGTTTGTAAATAAATGAGATACTATATATAGAAACACAAGGAAAATGCAGCGGGATAACGTAAACGTTTCTCCTGGGGTTGCCATCGCAGGGGCGGGCGTCAGGGGCCATGGAAACCTGGAAGATGTTTTACTCTAATTTTATACCATTTTTTAAAAATGCTTATTTTATTTCTGAGGGAGAGCATGAGCGGGGGAGGGACAGAGAAAGAGAGGGACAGAGGATCCAAGCAGGCTCTGCGCTGACAGCAGAGAGCCCGATGCGGGGCTTGAGCCCACGAACCTTGAGATCATAATCTGAGCCTAAATCAGACGCTTAACCAAACTCAGCCACTCAGGCGCCCCAATTTTATACCATTTCAAAAACTGGGATTATTGTTGGGTTTTAACTTCATTTGTATGACATATTTTCCTAATGGAACTAACAAAATTAGGATGTGGAGGAAGGGACTGTGTCTCTGTGTTGTTGTCTGTGTCCTGACCCCAGACCGCTGCCGTTTTCAAGTGACAGAAGCTTGATCATGACCAGCAGCACCCCACCCCCCAAAGTCTGGACTCTCAAGTTCAGGTTCCAATGTTGGCTCTGGGCTCTGCCAGTGGTGGGAGTGGTCCCCTTGGGGAAGTGATTTCCCAACCCCCCTGGCCTTCAGCCTACCCCCAGCCCCAGCCCCAGGGTAATTTATGGTAATTTTCTGACTCATAGTTATAACCTCCTAGGAATAGAAACTTGGAGAAAAGGCTCAGCCAACATTGGGACTAGTGTATCCCTCCTGCCTGGAGCCATGAAATCCTTGGGTGGTGCTCCAAGTGGGCCAGGGCCAGTCCGTTTGCATTTCAAAAGCTTTTAGAGTTTCACTGTTACAGACACCGAGGCTCAGACAGCAAAGTGTCCCATCAAGGCCACGCTCTGTCCTTAGGCAGGGCAGTTCGCTGGACAAAGGCGAGGGGAGAGCGGGCCCTCTCTCCACCAAGAGCACAGTCCTCAGTCTCCAAAACGCGTCTCCCTCTGGGAGCGCTACCTGTGCACCTGGGCAGCAATCAACTCCGCAGGTGTCCTGGGCCCTCTCTTCCAGAGAGGTGGGGAAGGGGCAGAGGTCAAGAATCGTCACCTGTTTTGGGGGGTGATTTGGGAAAAAGATAGAGGACATAAGCATTTGTCTGTAAAGGCAGGAGGCTTGGCATCCCTCCGTACGTTGCCGTGGAAACGCAGACAGGCAGCTGTCCCAGGGCCGGGGCTGGCTCCCCAGCTCTGCCCACACAGCGGCGAGGTCTGCCGGCAGCTTCAGTGTCCACTGTCCGGGGCTCCCTTCTGCAGCAACAGAACACAGGTGACACGGATTTTGGTAATACATTTTAGTTTACCCAGTGTGTCAAACGTGTCATTGCTTTGGCCATATTACGAATGCAGACATCACTGAGCTGCTTCATGTTGTGTGTCTCGAGTGTTCACAAAGCAGAGTGCGTACCCGCTCACGGCACATCCCAGCTTGGAGTCGCCACGTGTGGGTTGCCGGACAGAAACGCCCTCACGGCCTGTGGCAGGGGAGGAGCCTGGCCACAGTCAGGGCCAAGGCTGGCTTGAATCCAGGGCTGCGTCTGTCGCGGGCCCGGGCCTGACCTCTGCTCTGGAAGAAACGGGGATGCGAGCAGAGGCGAGGACCGCTTGCTACAGGGCTTTGCCAGGGCTTGGCCCCAAGCAGGGGGTCCAGACCCCAGAGTCCCTCTGCGGAACAGCCCCCTCAGTCTCTGGATCCAACCTTTCCTACCACCAACTCCCGGAACACCTTTCTAGAACTTCTGCTCCTGTGCCAACCTGCTCGGGTCACGTATCCCGGCCCTTCTTACGCCTGCGCCTCGGGACCCCCCTCTCTCTTCCACTCGCCCCTGCACGGGCGGTGGGGCTCCTCAGACTTAGCAGGTCTTCAATGGGACCGTGGGAGGCCAGAGAAGAAGGGAGAGCTTTCAAGGGTGGAAAGGCCGGCAGTGGGCGCGGGGGGTCGTGTGGAGTGCTGGGGGGCCTCGTAGGCCTGTAGGGCTGCAGTGGCTTATGTGAAGCTTTGGGATCATTGTGGGGTGGTGTGTGGTGTGTGGTGTGTGGTGGCTTCAGGGCGGCATGGGGCAACACGGGGCTGCGTGGGGGGACCGAGGTAGCTTGTAGCTGGTGTGTCCGTCCCCCAGGGGAGGAGCAGAGACGTTGGTAACTGTCGGGCGGCTCCGTTCCTCCCAGGCTGGCTCTCCGATGTCGAGCACACTCAGAGACCCTGCGCACGTCCTTCAAGGACCCACAGCTTTGGGGATCATTTCTGACCAGAACGGGGGTGCCTTTTAGGACTGGAAGCACTCTGGACTCGTCGCCTGCTTCTTCCCTGTCGGGGGGCGGACAGCAGCTGGGCCCTCGAAGCAGGCCAGGAGGGCAGTGCTCCTGTGCCCCCGAGCTTCGCGGCCTGCAGCTCGAGGACCAGGCTTCCCGGGACTCTCTGGGGAGTCGAACGTGGCATTTCCAGTGGCTCTCAGCAGCCCCCAGGACAGTCCCACGCAGCTTCTCGGCTCCTCCATCTCCTCAGGGCTGCCCCCTCGGACACTTGACGGCTATCAGTTCAGCACAGACTTGGGTGAAAATAATTTCTTTCTCTTTCTTTGCTCGTCTGAGTCAACCTCACGAGGACGTCCCAGAACTTTTCACTTGCAAATTAACCCAGCCAGAAACAAAACCGAGCAAAACCCGACACAGTTTGAAAGGCAATACTTGACATCCATTAAAAGGGGTTGCAAGTAACGCCCCGCCCTGCTGATCTCCAAAGTGAGATAAGCCTTCGACCGAAGACACTGCAGCCTCTGCTCTTCTCCGCCTCTCCCGGGACCTGAAGCTTGGGGACCGTCGCAACGGGCTGTCCTGTTTACGTGGATTTACACACTACTAAATTACTAAAACCCTTGGGACTTGATCCGTCCACCCAGGTTCAAGAGAAGGGGGCTCGGACGTACGGCACCAACCTAAATCCGAACCTTCTGGGGGCCGGGCAGGCACAGAGGCAGCTGCCTTACGAGAAGCTCGTTTCGTGGTCACACTTTGCCCGTTACGATTCGGAGGGTACAGATGAGGAAGCAGCAGTGGAGGGTTCCATGGCAGCTGAGCAAGGAGTGTGGGTCCCGGTCTGCTCTGGGCGCGGGTCTGGGCAGGGGGCGCGTATTTGTGCTGCACGGCAGGTGCTCACTGACATTCCTTCTGCTTAATTCACTGGTGGCCAAGCCCCTCGAAACAGCACCCACTGGCAATGCACGTGGTCGGCAGAGCCTGCACTTGGCAGCCTGAAGTCCTGTCTTAAGCCCGGACGCATGCGGGTGCGCTCACCCTTCGCAGCCCTGCAGGGCCCAGAGCAGTTGAGGGATGGGTGGTCTGGCAGCACTCTGGGATCATCGCTTCCCGAGAAGATAGTATTAAGGGAGGTGGGTCTTGCAAAGTGCTAACCAGGGGCTTAACTGGGTGGGACCCTCGGCCTTTTCTATAAGACCTGGGGCGGGTGGGAGAGAGGGAGGCAGTTCTTACCGAGATCCCTCTGACCTGCTTCAGTCTCCAGCTTGGTCATGTCTTCAGACCGTGAGTCCTAGAGGGGGGTCCTGGGGGTGGGGGTGGTGGCCGGAGAGGCCGGGCAGTGGGGTCCAGGCAGGTCTCAGGCGTTGCTCACCGTGACGTCTGGTTTGGGGACCTGGGAGGAGAGACCAACACCCCGGACCAAACCCGGAAAGGCCCCCTCGAGGAGCACGGGAGACACCATTTTTCAGTCCACAAGTCCCCTCTGGTGGGGGCTGCTGGCTGGCACTGTGGGGCCTGAGGAGGACAGGAGGGAAGGGAGCCCGGCTTCCCCCGGGGCCGTGTATTCTGCGGGCTTTTCTCCACAGCGGATTCTGTGTTGACCTGAATCCCGTCAGAGGGGAGCCCGCTCTGCCCGGCCCGGGGTTGGGGACCAGCAAGCTTCCCCAGGTCACGGGGGAAAAAAACCCGTGTTGACAGACAGAAATCCCCTGGGCTGGGCTTTTGCACACGAAGTCTCCTTATCTTGTGGTTTTTGGCCTCTCTCCCCACTCGTGTGTCTTGGGCACAAGCAGAGGTAGTGGCCAGTCGGAGGCTGGGAGACCCAGTCGTGCCCATCCCGGAGCGGCCGAGCCCTGCGAGATGCCCTCACAGCCCGCAGCCCGCAGCCGGGGATTGGGGGCGGGGGGGGGGGGGGGTCAGCTCATGTGGGGAGAGCAGGTGCAGCCGTCGGTGCGGGAGCTCAGGGAGGGTCCCCAGCATGTCCGCCTAGGGCACCGGCCAGGGGCAGCAGCTCGGGACGACTGGGAGGCTTTTTCAGAGGGGCCGGAGTCCCGTGTCTGTAGGCAGACACCTCGTCTTGGGGAGGCTGCACGCTGACTTGGACGGGGAGCGAGTCTCAAAACGGACCTAACCGTGGGGTCAGACTAACACCTCCTCTTTCTGGGTGCGAATCTGTCCCAGCGCCCCAGGGAGGTCGGAGACGCAAAAGGACCAAGTTCAGCAAGACCCAGTACCAGGTGCTCATCGAGGCCTTCGAGAGGGACTCATACCCTGATATCACTGCCAGAGAAGAACTGGCTCGACGAACCCAGATCCCTGAGCCCAGAATCCAGGTGACTACAGACCGGTTGCTCCCTGACGGGAGGGCGAGGGGGCAAGGAACCTTGTACTAAGCGCCTGTTCTAGCTCGGGCTTAACAACCCGCTTTGCGTTAAGCCTCTCGGTTCCCCTGTGAGTAGGCGTTAATTATGCCCTTTAGCTGGGCATTTGGTGACAGGTTACAGCTCTGGCAAGGGGTAGAGCCTGAACTGGTGATCTGAGAGTTGCATCTGCCAAACAGTTACCATGTTAGCAATGAAGAGAAATCTTCAAATATTTACTAATTAAAAAAAAAACACATAATAAACCCATTACGTGTAAACCGAAACTTATTTTTCAAGATAAGCAACCATATTGTCACAGCCAGAAAATTTACTCAGAGAGGATGCCAGAGGAGGCGGGAAGAGCAGGGGTGGGGCTCCCCTCTGCCGAGGGCTCTGAGAAACCCTTGAGAAAGTGGGGTGTGAAGTAGGCAGAGGCGGATTACATCTGGGTGTTGTAAAGGAAAGCGTTGTGAGCTAACAGCGATCCCGAAAGGATGTCAGGGATCCTGGGGGTCCCGGGTCATGGGGTCCTCTGGGTCTCAGTGTTGGGGGCACCGGGCCCCACCTCCAGGAAGGCTGCTGGGTGCAGCCTGGGTTTGAGGGCCGCTGCCCTGCATGAAACCCAAGTCGTCGAGAGTGGAGCCCAGATACCGAAGGTTGTTTGGGAAGCCCCCCCAGGTGATTCTGCTGTGTAGGCGCCTTTCAATCTGAGACCATCAGGGTCTCATCCCAGACTGATCAGGATCTCTGGGAGTGAACGGATGTGCAGAAGTTTTTAAAACTGCCAGGTGACTGCAGCATGCCGACCCCTACCCTTTGACCCTTGCCCTCCCGCGTGCTGTGGGCCCAGCCCTCCCGGAGAGCCGACCATCTACTGAGTCTGGGTTCGAGCTGGGCCCTGGAGTTCCGAAATCTCCCCAGGTGGTTTGCAGGTGCAGCACACTCAGGGTCACCCCACTGGCCTCCAGGGCCCACCACCCCCATTTCTTACCAGCCGCTTTCGAGGTCCTTGATGAGGGTGGTGGGACGGATCACAGGCTGCTGCATGAGAACGAACAATGCTTAAGGGTTTGCTAATTTTTTTCTAATGTTTGTTTATTTTGAAAGAGACAGAGCATGACTGGGGGAGGGGCAGAGACAGAGAGACAGAATCCCAAGCAGGCTCCGCACTGACGCGGGCCTGATCCCACAGACCGTGACCTGAGCCGCAATCAAGAGTCGACACTCTACGACTGAGCCACCCAGGTGCCCCAAGGGTTTGCTAATTTTAAAAAATTTTGACCTAACCCCAGAGATAATTAAACCACAGCCCAGAGGGGAGAAGGGTTACCAAAAACACCCTACAGGGGCTGAGAGATAAGCCTTGGGGCTTCCTATTTCTAGAAGCAATAGATAGCCTGGGCCGTCAGTATCTGTCCTAGAAGCCCCCTGCTGGCCCAAACCTTACAAAGAGAACCAGGATACAGAAAAGCTTAGTGAAAGCCCCAAGCCTGTGACATTAGATTTAGTGGCCTTTTATCAGCGGGCCTGGAAACCTCACTCAGGGAGGGGCAGACAGCCCTTCAGGACTAGATCACCTTCCCAGAACCCGTCAGCCCAAACAGCCCTCCATGCCAAGTACAACTTGACCTTCCCCAGGAGAAAGAATTGGCCACAGAAGTTCAGTACTTGGGGTGAGGTGGGTGGGTTCCAGGTTTCAGCTCAAGCAGCTCCCGGATCCGGGAGGAAAACCCTGACGTTCTCGGTCCGGCTGGCGCCTGGGTGGCGAGTGAGTTCCCGGGGCCAAGTGTGCTGGGGCAGCTGTGATCAGGATTCGCAGAGGCTCTGGCTCCCACAGGCTGCACCGGCACCCTGCCGGCCGGCACCTGGGCCCGGCCCCGGGCCAGGGTGTGTGTGGGAGGGTGCCAGGTGGCGGTTCTGGGAAAGGGCTGCTGGAGGATTGGGCTTTTGTCTTGCAGTTTGTGCGGAGGATTTTTTTTTTTTTTTCTCTCCCTGGGGCAAGCAAATCCTGGGAGTTGTTTTGCCTACTTACGACCCATCTTTCTGTGGGATCTTCAGGCCTCGCTTGGTGGCTGGCCCCAAAAGAGGCCTCTGTTGTGTTTTCCAAGAGTGGAGGGGAGGCCTGGCTGACCGCTGCTGGGAGGGGCATGGAACCACCTGACCCAGGTGACCCCCAGAGGAACCGGACATTGAACCTGGGCAGAAAGAGGCTTTACTCACAGGCGTCCATCTTACTCCTTGTGTGGTGGAGAGGGGACCACCCAGACAGAGCAAGTGAAGGCTGCGGGGTGATCTTGGCGGGGTGCAGCCCCGTCGCTGGTTCAGCAGAGCCTCAGAGGCAGGCAGGGATGGAGAGCTGCCAGTGCAAGGTGTGGGTACTCGGACGCCAGCGCGGTCAGCCGGAGGGGCACCTGTGTACTGGTCTGGGGAGCAGACTGGGCTGCTGGTCCCGAGCTGAAAGCAGGTCCTGGGTGGGCATGGTCGAAGCTGATGGCTGTAGGGGTTCTGTTGTGATCTGGTCGCAGGTGATCTGGCCTTTGTATGTTCAGCCCTTCACTGTTTTCCAATACATTAAAATTTTTTTAGTGTTCATTTATTGTTGAGAGACAGAAGTTGAGTGGAGGAGGGGCAGAGAGAGGGAGACACAGAACCCGAAGCCCGCTCCAGGCTCCGAGCTGTCAGCACAGACAGCTGGGAGACCCAAACCCAGCTGGGAGGCTCAAACCCACGATCTATGAGATCATGACCTGAGCCAAAGTCGGACTCTTAACTGACTGAGCCACCCAGGCGCCCCTGTGATACAATATCATTAGCTATAGCCCCCCTGCTCTGTGAGGCCTCCAGAACTTGTTCATCTCAAGACTGCAAGTTTGTGCGCTCTGACCAGCACCCCCATGGTTATCGGATAATGGAGGATCGGGGAGAGGGCGCGGGAGCCGGAGTGTAAGTGTTGCCCGGTGGACCGTGGAGACCCCTGGACGACACCACACGCTCTGGTCTCGTCCCCATAAAGAATTCAAGGACAGACCAGACAGTGGTTGAACGGTGCTAGTAGGAAAGTTTGTTTAAGAGCAAACTCTGAGGGGTGCCTGGGTGGCTCAGTCGGTTAAGCATCCGACTTCGGCTCAGGTCATGATATCGCGGTCCGTGAGTTCGAGCCCCGCGTCGGGCTCTGTGCTGACTGCTCGGAGCCTGGAGCCTGTTTCAGATTCTGTGTCTCCCTCTCTCTCCCCTCCCCTGCTCACGCTCTGTCTCTCTCTGTCTCAAAAATAAATAAACGTTAAAAAAAAATTAAAAAAAAAGAGCGAACTCTGGAGATGTGAGCGAGCTCCAGGATGTACGGGGTTTGGGGCTCTGTCTTATATTGATAGTTGTTAACCGGGGGTGGAATATTAATTACTAGGGGAGGGGACTAGGGTTTTGTGCCTTTTTTCCCTTATTTGGGCAGGGTCTCTGGCCTTTGTCGTGGGAGGGGCTGGTTTCTTCCAGCTTCCCTTGGCTTTGCCTTGGAATGCTCCCAGGACAGGTCTGTAACTGCCCCCTCCGTGGCAGTGACTCCCCTTTGCCAGCCTCCAGGCATCATGTTAAGGCCTAATAATAACCGCCTACCCTAGCACGGGCAGGAGAGAGCCCGGTGTTTCCCCGAGGCAGCCTTCCCGTTGCACTGGCGTGTCCATGAGTGTCTGTCAGTGTGCACGTGTGCACGGGTACCAGGTGGGTGCCTTGGGGAGAGGTGCCTGGAAGCTAGGGAGGGCCACACAGGGAATGGCTTGATCAGCCGAGCCAAGGATTTTGCTTTCGTTCTAAACTCTGAAAGTTTCATTTGGTGACCGTCCAACCTCGGCTACGTGGTGATGATGACTGTACTGGCTTTATTACAGTGTCTCCTCTTCGTCTCCCCTTCCATGCCCATCCTTGCCCCTGCAGGTCTGGTTTCAGAACCGGAGAGCCCGAATCCCCAAGAGCAACCAGAGGAGGCCAGGCGTGGAGGCAGGTGCCCAGGCGCCGGGGTCCGGTCAGCACGGCGGGGGCGCCCCCCGCTGCGCCTGCCAGCCAGGCTTTGTGGGGGCCCCGAGCACCGCTGGCCACTTCTTGGCGTCGGAGGGCACTTCTGGTCAGGCCATCCCATCGGGGCACGCTGCTGTCGCGGACGAGAACGTGGCCTTGCGTGACCTGGAGACTCCAGGCAGCGCACTGGGCGAGCCTTCCGGAGATTTCTATCTCTCTCCCTTGGGCTTCAGCCCCGAAGCCCTGTGTCCGCTTCCTGCTTCCCTGCAGCCCCTCTCCCAGCCGGAAGAAACCGGAGCTCAGTGGGGGGACCTGGGACAGCTCCTGCCCTACGGGGACTGTGCCCTGCAGGGCTGGGAACAGCCTCCCGCCTCCAGTGAGCCGCAGCCGCAGCCGTGGTGGGGCTGGCAGCCTTCGCCCTCACTGGAGCCGGACGTGTTGCCCCCACAGCCCCAGCCCCCGGGGCCCTGGGAGCAGCCAGCATGGCCCCTGCCTCCCACGGAGCCCTGGCCCCAGCCCTCACTGGAGCAGGTGCCCTTGGGCGTCGGGAGCAGTTTCCCCACCCCCCTGGGACACGGGATGCTTGAGGGAGGCCCCGGGGCCCCCACACACCCCGGCCCCCAATCCCGCAGCTGTGGGGCCATGCTGGGAGCTGCTGCTACAGCGAAACGTTGAAATGACTTCAGCTCCAATGGTAGGAGATAGTGAGTGAGCAGCGGTTCCCCTGCACGCTTAATGCTACGCGAAATTAAAAGGGAATGAAGGTTTGCGTCCTTTGCGCGGAGAGGTGTCCCGGACATACCTCTCAGGAGTGGGGTCTGTCATAGAGTGCAGAGGGACAGGCAAGCGGAGGATCCAGGGGGATGTTCTCAGATGGGAGGAAAGGGAGTTTTTTGTTTTTACCACCCATGTGACCTGCCTTCAAGTCATTGGTAAACTCAGAGCACTTACAATGTCCTGTAGACTCTTAGAGGGGGCTTGGGGACAGGGCGGGGCTGCCTTGTACAAGGGTCAATAAAGAGGAGCACCTCGTCCCTCTTCACATGTACAGCGTCTGCTTCCTTCCACCTGGCCTTGGCCTTCACAAGGGTCCCACACTCATTCCTCCCCCACCGCTCCCCCATCCCCACGTCCAGCCAAGTGTGGCTTCCTCCTGGGCACTGGACGTGTCCCTGGTGCTGGGCAAATTTCTTGAAAACGAGCCCTATGGGTCTAATGCAAAATGCGGCATAAAATGGCTGGATCTCAGCAGAGAGAAGCAGGGAGGATGCCTGAGCTGCGTCCCTTCTCTCCGGTCCACAGTGTAGTCTGGGCCCCCCAACACCCGCCCATCTGCACTGAGAAGGGGTGTGGGGGAGGGTGCTCACCTCGCCTGGACAGCCGGTGGTCCTGCCTTCAAGGATGGGGAAGTCATGAAGACCTCTCTTGGTCACCGGAACCACACCTTCGAGGTTACACAGAAGGAAACATTAGTGGTGCCCAACTTACAAGTAGGGGCAGGTGTTAAGTCAGACGGACGCCAGAGATCGACCACCCTGCGGCCCTGAGAAAGCAGGAGCTGAGCCCAGCGGCTTGTCGGGCACACACTTCATGTCCCTGAGGAAAGGCGGACACACAGATCTCCAGGGCTTCTGTGAGTGATGTTGCCGTGGCCTCTGTGTCACCACGTCCACCTGCTTGTCCTCCTTTTCCAGCTGAGGCCCGGGGGGGCCTCCTGCTTCAGCCGAACACTCTAGAACCGGGTCTACATCAGCACCCTGGGTCTCAAGCCAGGCCAACTCAGGTGTGTGGATACGTAGACCTCTTTGTAGCCAGCAGTCCCGGTGTCCCCATCCCCCGTTACCCTTCCCCAGATGACAGTCCCAGCTGATGGGGCGGGACTCTGCCAGGCAGAGCCCCAGCTGCCTGGTACGATGTCGTCCCTGTCGGGGACCTGCCCTGCGTATCTGCTCGTGAAGAATGTTCTGGATTTCCCAGGGCTGGAGCCAGAAGGGACCAGAGCTGGGCTGCGTGCCAGGGGACCCAGCGGCCGTCCTGTTGGGAGGGCGCTGATTGCTGACCTCAGGGTGGGTTCTCCCTCTGACGCCCTTTGTATCTAGAACAACCTGCAGCGTGCGAGTCCACACGGAATGATCCACAAATATTAGCTGGCCCTTTACCACGTGCCAGGCGTTGGTAGGGATGAGAGACAAGATGCCTGCCAACCGTTTCTTAAATACCCAGGGTGATGCCGGGCCCAGAAACTGCCTGTGCTGAGCAGCTCGGGGAGCGATGTTCCTTCTCTGAAGTGAGGCCCTGGCGATTCCTACCTTCCCGTAGCTGCGAAAGATCCAAAGGAGTCAGCTGTCTCTTGCTTTCTCTCTGTCTTCTATTATTAGCAAGGAATCTGGCTTCACGGGAGGAAGGCCTTTAGAAGATTGGTATTTGTTAGGAAATGCTTGGGGATATACGAGGGGAAGCCAGGCTCACCGAGGCCCTAGGTCTCCTCGGATCACAGCTCGCTGCTCAGCTGCCTGCCTCCCTCTCCACCGGGCTCAGGTGCGTATCTGCCAGGCAGCTGGTCAGAGAGAGCCTGAGGAGTAGCGGGAGGAGTCTGAGGAAGGATCGGGGTTCGGTTCTGCCCCCACTCCTTCTAGGTGTAGAGTCTGGGCACTATTTCTTCTCTTACAACCTAGTTTCCTTAATTACGGGGGAGCATTTGAGAGCTCGTTTGGGCCAAGAGCGGTTCCAAGCATAAACATAAACGTGTAAGAGATGGCTCTGCCTTAGTTCAGGAGAGAGAGTCACTGCAGACAGACTCAGAAGGCAAACGACAAACTGGGAGCAACATGAGGATTTATTTATTTATTTTTTAAGGATTAAAAAAAAATTTATTAGAGGGGCGCCTGGGTGGCGCAGTCGGTTAAGCGTCCGACTTCAGTCAGGTCACGATCTCGCGGTCCGGGATTTCGAGCCCCGCGTCGGGCTCTGGGCTGATGGCTCAGAGCCTGGAGCCTGTTTCCGATTCTGTGTCTCCCTCTCTCTCTGCCCCTCCCCCGTTCATGCTCTGTCTCTCTCTGTCCCAAAAATAAATAAACGTTGAAAAAAAAATTAAAAAAAAAATTATTAGAAAAAAATTTTTAATGTTTATTTTTGAGAGAGAAAGAGAGACAGAGAGAGAGAGAGAGAGAGAGAACGAGCAGGGGAGGGCCAGATAGGGAGACACAGAATCCAAAGCAGGCTCCAGGCTCCGAGCTGTCAGCATAGAGCCGGATGCGGGGCTCAAACTCGTAAACTGCGAGGTCATGACCTGAGCTGAGGTCAGATGCTGAACCGACTGAGTCACCCGGGTGCCCCCAAACGAGCAATTATAATAGCAGAGAAACTAATAACACCAGATAAGGACGACTATCACCTCCCAAAATGGAAGTACCTATAGATGGGCAATGAACCTATTTTAAAAGTTATCATTCTAAAATTTAAAAAGTAATGCAACTTAAAATAGTGCCATGCTACTTTTTACACAGTATATTGGATTAAAAATGAAAATATTCGTCACACATAGTGCAATATTTGAGGAAATGCATAAGAGCTTGTAATAGTAAAAATTGAGGGGCACTGGGGTGGCTCAGTCAGTTGAGCGTCTGACTCTTGATTTCAGCTCCAATCATGATCCCAGGGTCATGGGATCAAGCCCTGTGACAAAGCTTCTCTTTCTTCCTCTCCCTCTGCCCCTCCCCCTCTTGTGCTAGCCCTCTAAAAGAAAAAAAAAAAAAAAAAAGGAAAGAAAAAAGAAAGTTGGGAGAAATTTGCGAGGTTAAAGGACCGTAGAATGGATAATTATACAGATCTTCTAGAACATGAACTATTATGCACCCATTTCAAACAACGTTCTAAATGAATATTTAACAACATATAGTCTTGTTTTCAACATCTGGGCGAGAACCATTCAGCTAATTAAATCCTCTACAGGAAAGAATCTGAGCAGATAATTAGCCAAATTCAACCTCCTTCCTTCTCTTTTTTATTAAATCTCTCCACCTAATTATAAATGCCTTTAAAGGCACACCAGCACCATTCAGGTGAACCACTTGAAACTTCCGAAATGCTCCTGGTTCTGGTCCTGGCCCTGGTCTGGCCC